CACTTTCTCCCTTAAAATTCCATCTTGGAATGTTCTGCTTTGCTCAGTCAATAATATTTGTAAATGTACTGTTCTCTGATGCTAGAATTACAATGGAATGTTTGGACTAAAGTCATAACTGTGTATTTATCCTTTTGGGATGTCCTTAGAGAACCAGGCAGTGCCAAGAGCTTAAAAAGACTTTAAAAGATTACTTAAAACTTATTTCCATGCTGTGTGCTTCATGCATCTGGCTTAGAGGGAACATGCAGTACAAAGTCTAGAATTAGTTTTCATTTGCTTTGACTTCTCCTTGTGCCCCATAAGCCTTATTGTTTGGCAACAGCTTTGATGCGCAAACACTGTATACGGGTGTTTTTGTTTTTCTTCTATTGCTTGAAATGGCGAAGGACACATAGTCAGTGGTAAAAGTTGTTGTGGCAAAACTTCCTTAATTATTGGGCCTTCAAGAAGAAAAAGAAAAACACGCACGCAGAAAAAACCCCCAAAACAGGAGAGTAGTTTCTTGTGCAGATACTATTTCAGCTGCTTTTGCAGACCGTGGTAGAGAGTCAATATTGATTGGTGAGACTATGTAAACATAAAACAAGGAATGATGATTCATCTGTTTACTTGAATCCACAGAGCAGGCGGCTAAGGCCAGTGTGCCCCAGGCTTATGGAAGTGTAATAACTTTTTTAATAATCGTGAAGTGCTGAGCATGGTTTACATGTTGTTCCAAAGGTAGTTTTTGCAGGAGCATAATCTCCTGGGATTTGGAGGGAAACGTGACAGTTGTTGTATTTCACCCTCCTCAGGAGGATCAGTTCGTGTTAGGCCACATAGACTTAAGTTAACCAAGTGCAGTGGATCATATTTTCTGCTTGCAGTATATTACCAGTTGGTAGCTTCACATCATGTATGAACCAGTGTGGGATGAAACCGGGGTCAAGTGTCTGTAGAATGTAGACCTGGAAGAAAAGGTCAGTCTCCCTCCATAGAGGGGAGTTGCGGGAAGTACCATCTGCTTTGGGGACAAAACAAGTCAGAGGATGAATGTTCAGATGACTAGAGCTTTTCGGAAAGGTTTTCCTTTTTCTGTCCAGGCAGAATGGGTAAGGCAAAGCATTAAACAAGGCATATTAATGGTAAGTTGAAATATTTTTAGTACTGGAAATGGCAGCAGTTTTAATTAGTAGTCTGGAAGACTCATACTTTGCTTTGTTTGGAGATGCCATATTGACAAGTTAAATACCTGCCTTCTTACATGTACCTAACATGTAGGCTGGCTTCATTCTGTGATGCTTTCGTGCTTTTTGGTTAGGAAGCAGGTAACTTATCTTAGCCAATACGGATGTATCATGTTGCCATTCTGTTTGGAGGAAATGGGTATCTGAAATGAAATATCTGAAAAAAATGCAGAGATGAAAGACCAAGTTACTAATTTCTTTTTTTCATCAGCAAGTAGACAAAGAACTCATTATGAAAATTAGGACGGAGAAGGAGGAGGACTGGTTTTTAGAAGTCCCCTGATTAGTTTCATGTTTGTTCCACAGACTATTGTATTTAGTTATGTTGGCATTTACATGGTCTTAAGTAGGCTTTGAAGTTATCAGGTCACAAGGCAAGGGTGGATCGCACTTTTGTTGTCACCTTTGTTTATCTGGAGACTGTTTTCTGCATGACCAGGTTAACTGCTCAGTAAGCCCCATCACTGCTCTTCCACAAGTCTTAATATCTTAATCCCAGTATCTAATATTGCACTCTTGAAGGAGGCATATAAAAGCAGGGGGGCGGGGGGGGAGTCTGCTTTTGTGCTCTAACTTGTTCGCATCTCCCTTCAAAGTTAGTGTTTAAGCTGGAATTAAACTGATGCTTGCTCAAATTTCTGATCCAGAAATAACTTGCCACTGCTGAGTAAATTTTTCTTAACGCAGTGATTATAATCTACACAGACTGGGCATAAGGTGTTGTGCGTGTGTGTGTGTGTGGTTGTGGTTTTCTTTTTTTTTAACGTTAGAAATCTTTGGGTTTCCTTTCTATATAGGTAGGTGCAATCCTGTTTGCTGAACTAGGCTTCAGAAACCATTTCAGGGGAAGTATTTCTGAGGTGCAGAGAAAAGGATGGTTAAAAATTTCTGATACCCAGCAGTTACTTCACTCATGTGGTATTACCTATACTGGGTAACATGAGGGACGACGTAAGTCATGTTCAGATCATGGATCAGGATAATGCTGACACTACAGTCTGAATCTTTACTGCAAATGAGTCTAAACGTCACAGCGGAAAAGGGCGAGTTGCCCACTTGCCTAGCAGACCTTAACAGGACTTGCCAGTGCCTGGGAAATGTCTCAGCTGTTTTATCTTCACTGGCGTTTTACTTCTCATTGGCAAACTTGATCCCATCGCATCCTGTACCCCCGAGCAGGAAAAGTGCTGCAATGGTCCCCAGCTGGAAATGGTTCAGAAGGGACCCGTTCACGTGTGTTCCCTGAGGTAACCAGTTGTTTTAGGTACAAATGGTACAGAGGACTACAAACGTTTGGCTTCAGTCTTTGTTAAATGAGGCCAGAAAACAAACAGTACCTGGGGGTGCGGAGGAGGCGTGTCAAAAAGTAATTCAACGTGAAGTTCATGCTCTCTGATTAATGTGTGTTGAGTTTAGATTTTTGTCACCTAAGTCAGGGCAAAACGGAAACATTTCATGGTACATTTGGTACATTAGAATCCTTAAATTGTTCTATTTACAGCTGTAATTCAGTGTTATTTTCTAAATAACATGAACAAAAATGTGCCTTTAACTTTGATTTTAGAGTTAATGAAGACGATGACTTTTAAACTGTGTGCATGTGATTTTTTTTTTTCCTTTTTCCTCCTTACTAAGAGAACAATTTGCTATTATATTAAAATTCTTTCTATACACTAAAACAGAATTGTTATTGACTACTAGGTGTCAGATTCTGCTTCACAGAGGAGGGAAAATCTGAGGAAAGACAATTGCATTTACTGGGAAAGCTGGTATAGTGAGCTGGCCAATTTAGATGGAGGGGCAAAAAAAAAGCCCAAGCTGTAAGGAGACTTTACCAATTTTGATCAATATTACTAAGCTGGTTTATTCCTGCTGGCTGGTTGTCCGATCATGCACTAAGGTAACTTTCAAAATGTGTTCTTGAAAAATCATTTTTAGGCCTTGACAGATTCCTTAATGAGATTTGAATTTTGAAGGCCTATTGAGCCTTTTAATTTTTATAGCAACTACTCTAATCCTCTTAAAGTATTTGTCCAGGAAAAAACCCATCCTTAAACACTGTTAATAGATAGCTTCGGGTTGGTTTGTATTTCTAGGCTAATTTGGGGGTGGGGGGGAAACTACATTAAGTTCACAAAGAGGTCAGGAGTAATTCAGTCACTGATCGCTATGCTCTGTTTAGTGTCCATACGATCGAGTCACAAGAAGGGTCATGAGACTTAATTTTCGTTCATGTTGTTAAAGTCTATTTGTTTAGATAATTGGAGCCACTGGACTAGTTTGTCTCTGAGCTGGAAAGAAGTATCTAAAACTAGGAAATCATGTCCTCAGTAAAAAAGAAATGCAGCCTTGGAAAAAATGACAGAAAAAGGAAGGGAAATTTGTCATTGCATCAAGCACATAAATTAACTGTTTGTCTATTTCTTTTTTAATCTTTAGTGTATTAGAATCAGAATTTCACACCAGGTTTTAGTTGTCATCTTGTGCACGCCTTAATCACATGGGGTTTTTTAACTAATAAGGCTGCAAAAGAGACAGTACATGCAACAAAGCTAAGCTGAGCAATGGAAAGGGCAGTGTCCATATGCAGCTCTTAAACAATGAAGTACTTGTCATAGAGGAGCTACGATCACGCAGGACAGCAGTGATATCACCATTGCTGCAGCCAGCGAGTATCTTGGACATTCCTGTGGCACCTGGTACGTTGCCCAGCCCTAGTCTCAAGATGCGGCAAAGCATTAAATTATTTCCTTTGGGGGGAGAGTAAGAATGCTTATGCTAGTTGAGGGAGGTACAGAAGAAGAACAACTACACATAACCAAAAAATAGCTAGTTTTTGGAGGTTATTCCAGGAAAATGCCTGCTAGGAATCCTTTTCTATAATAATACCCTGAATAAGAGGCAAGGTTTCAGGTTTTTTTGTCTCCATTTCTTGCCCCTCTCCCTCCATCAAGCTTCTGGTTTGTATCTGATTACGTCAAACTAAAGGTCAAGAGATCACAGTAGATCATTTTTTATTTGGTGCATTTTCATTGACTGGTACTCAGTAATGGCCAGAGTTCTCAGAACAAATCCTGGTCGCACTTAGATGTCCTCTTCTATCTCTAGATGTCCTCTTTTATCTCTAAGTATGTCTCGAGTCTTCCCCCATACTGTTAAAAGTGTGAGGAGTAAGAGCACACATTCAGGGTTCCCTTTTGTGTTACGGCGTATAGTACCTGTGGACACTTACCAACACAGCCGTCGTTCAGCAGATCACCCCGTGTGCTGCAGTGAACATGGCGTGGCTCCCTCACCGACTCTCTTCACAACAGAGCCATTTCTACATTGTGTTACTAAAAAGAATTTAATTAACTCTTGCAAATGTTTTAGTTTCGTGACAGGCATATTTGCCTTGAAGCTTTTCACATATCTTTGCGGAAGAAAAGCTTTGTATCTAAATAACATTCTTGTGAGTTTTTGAAAGGTTACGGTTGGGTCACTGGTACTTCTTTCACAGACTTCATTTCTTTTGGCTTGACCACTGCAGTTGGGCACCTACGTGGTTTTTGACTGTCACATCAGGATTTAAGTTGCACCAATGGAAAGCACATGTTAATGTACTTCAGAGCCGCCTTCATGGCAAAAAAGCTGGAGCGACTGTGTATGTGGAACAAAATGAGTTGTATAAATCTGTATTTTACAACAAAAATCTAGGAATTTTCTTCAGAAAATCTACACAAGAGAAACACCTTTTGTTCTTTAATAACAGAAAAGGTTGCTCTCTTACAGTTCGCTGGGACCTTGTCAGATGGTTTGGGAAAGACAATGGATAACAGACATCAAACCGAACGAGAATACATTCGCTACCATGCTGCAACTAGTGGAGAACATCTTGTAGCTGGAATCCATGGACTTGCACATGGTAACCCTTAACTGTAATTTTAACTCATTCCTCTCTTAAAAGTAGTGATCAGATTGAAAAGAACAGTTTGTATTACTCTTGGATGATTATTTGAAGCCAGAGAAGTGGAGCTATCACAGGCTTGCTTTTGCAATTTGAATGCTTGCGGCTCGGGAGGGGGGATTGTTTGTTTTTTACGTTGACAGAAACTACACTTAAGAATAAGGTTTATTCACAAGTAACTGCAAGTAAAAGCTTTTTTCCCAAATTAAAACAAAATTTCGTAGAAAGTTCATCCAAAACTTCCATTTCTTTGTAGAGTCATAAAATACCCATACAAACAGCCTTTCTGAGGGCCAGACGTTAAAATAAAAATGAGTATGGTTGGAGTGTAGGTTTCTTATGTTTGCTTTCAGTTCCAGAAACCTGAGTTTCCTCAGAATCAGGACATCAGTTTAAAGTAACATTTCACCAGTTGGGTTATTTTGTGGTTTTGTTTTGTTGGTTTTTTTAAGTCTACTAAGAACTAGAGAAATGAATTTGTGTAAAAGGCAGTGGACTAGACTTAATTTGGCCAGAATCTCACATCAATTTAGTTCATGATTTATCTGTTGAAGAAAGTTAAATCAATACAAGCTAAGTTTAAATCAAATATTTACATTTTGCATCATCTTGACTCAGTTTGTTTAAATGTCATTCTTTTAATGCAACCGTTGCAGTCTGTGTAAAGATAATCTGGCTTTCACTAAAACAGCAATCTTTTCTATGCTGAACAAAGGTCTTTATGCTGGACTTTTGTTGTAAAGAGACACTGTAGGTATTCAGATGGATCGTGAGACAGGTTTCTCTCGCACCAGTGTGCTGTAAAGTCTTTTATAAATTACCTTGGTAGAAATGCAGGAAATCTGAAATATGTCAGTCTTGGCTGAAAAGACAATTATAAAGCACTTCGCTGTGTTCTATTATCCAGTAATTAGCGGGACTATTTCAGTCTTAATTCTGCGGAGCTTTTAAATGCTTCCCATTTGATTTTTTTCAAAATAGCAAACAACTGTTAAATCCATCTGTTGAAATGTAGGAATTAACCATAAACTATAGTTACTCAAGAGAAGTGATTTAAATACATTGTGCTGCTTGAGCTTGGAAGTTAAGACGCTGCCTGGTCTGTATTTCAATTACAGACCTTAAAAGAGTACCTGGCTGCTGAAAGCTGAAGAGCCAAATGGTGGTAAGCATTTTTATATGAGTGCTTAAGCCAGTTCACTAAAAATTGTGATGTTCTAATTGCGGAGATGTGAAACCTGTAAAGCATGTTCTCGGATAATATGAATTGTTCCAAGTCTTTTGAAGCCTCGGTAGGTTCTCGATTTCTTCAGAGCATTCAGACTCTCAGCAACAGAAACGTGCACAGAAATGTTTGTTGGCAGCATCACAGTTAAAATCACACAATGCCAGTTTAGAATAATTGACTTTTTCCAGTGGAGAACTGCACTTTCCTATTTCCTGTCTCAAACTGTATAAGCTTTTGTGGTAATAGAATTTTGTCACATTATAAGTAACTGCTTCACCTCAGGAACAGATGAGGACTGTTCGTGTAAATACAGCTGGGAAATAAAATGGTATAGAAATACTTAAAAATGTACCTATTTAATAATGAGTTAAGTCTCTTTCTGTGGGATATTATTGTCTGTGTGTATGCATATGTATACTACATAAACAACCTATAAAGTTATTAGCCAGTGTAATCAGTTGTGAAACAGTTTTTGTGTTACAGTAAGTACACAGTACATTTCTATCAAGCTTGACAGTAAACCATTTAAGAAGAGAGCATCAGCTGTGACACGGTTCTATGATTTTTAGAGGCGGCAATTCCGGCCTACTTTGCTGTTCTTGTCTTTGCTAGGTATCATTGGAGGATTGACAAGTGTAATAACTTCAACAGTTGAAGGTGTGAAAACTGAAGGAGGTGTCAGTGGTTTCATATCGGGCCTTGGGAAAGGGCTGGTTGGCACAGTAACCAAACCTGTGGCTGGAGCCCTGGATTTCGCATCGGAAACTGCACAGGCAGTGAGGGACACTGCAACTCTAAGTGGCCCCAGGTCAGTAAGCAGTTTATATTTCCCATCAGTAATACTGTAAAAATGCATATTAACACCTGCTGCAATTTCTGATCGGACTATCTTTCCTTACCTAAAGAAACAATAATTTGATCAAATTTACTATGAGCCATTCCTAGTGATGTAGCCCATGTCATTTGTTTTGCTTTTTCTTTAATAGATGGCATTTGTTGATACTGTTAACAAGGGTGAAATTTGCACAGAAAAGCTGCAACATAAAAGAGGAATTATTAAGCTACAGCTTTAGATTAAAGCAAAATTTTAAAAAGGCTACGTGTAATGAGATTACATTTCCACCATGGAATCTTTATGCAGAGTTGAAATGGAAGAGTTCTTCTCCCTGCTCTACCTGCAGCTTCCAATGAGCCATGTAGTAAAACAATTCTTCAAAGGTTTGAAGAGTTCTGGCATCAATATAGCATCATAATCTTCTAATTTTAATTTTGTACAGTATTTCTCACCTACAAAAAGTGTGGCTGTATGCCCTTATGTCCGCATGCTCATGTGTTTACCCACACATATGTGGATGTTCGGTGTCAGCACATCATGACAGATGCTTTGGCTTGCTTCCTGTGTTCAGTTCCTAGCGTAATGTGGTCTCTACAAAATGATGATGATGTTGATGATGACTAAGTAAATGAATGTTCATTAGCACTGACTATGAATGTGGAAGATGAAAAGGGCTAAGTTTTTAAAAGGCTGCTCTGAGAGAAGATTCTTTTTACTCTTGGTGGCCAAGAATTTACTTCATATGATAGTAGTATGCCAAGAAGTCCTGTTGTATGCACGTGAGATCCTGCGTGCTGAAGAAGTGAAAGAAAATCCTAAGTAAATTTACTGGCAGAAAATGTAGAGAAAAATGTTTGCAAAATGTTGAGTTTTCTGGTTGTCTTGTCTTCCCATTTGGCTTTTCCACTTCCTGTGTTTTATTATGGCACACTTGGAGTCCTAAAGTGTCTGCCGTCAGTGTTTCGGTGACGAACAGTAAGCTTGATGAAGTGCAAGTGAGGTGCAGGAAACTTTTAAAGAGTGAACCTTGGTGTACTTTGTTGTAAAAATGGAAGTGTTTACATGTACATCTTAACATATTTGGTACTTAGCTTGATTTGTAAAGCCAGGAGGTCGAGGATTACAATTTGATAAGTACATATGCGTACATAAAATGACATAGCTCTAAGTACATCCCTGAGAACACACATCTACTATTTTGCTTGTACGTGTCTTAATTTTGTGACTGTACAGATTGATTTATTTAAAGGTGGGGAGACATACACCTGGCTATACTGTTGTCTTACTAGTTGAGATGTGATTTTATTACCGTTTGTTTCAAGATACACATATACTTAAAATTCATGTTTTGGCATACTTCTGAGATACAGCCTTTGCACAGTAGTGATGATGATATCAACAGCTGACAAACCAGATAGCAACTGGGAAAGGGAGGGCCTCCAACCAACCTTATCTCTAGCTTGTGTTTGCCTCTGTGACATATTTCCCTTTAACTTGTTAACTGTCAGTTAAGAGAGCAGGTTAAGACAGCTGAGCTGTACCATATTTTTGCTTCCATTAGATTCTGAAATACTATTGTCATAGATGAGCGCTGTGAAATGCTTTTACTGTTTACACATGCTCTGCAAAGAGTTTCTGACCCAGCAACCTTCTGCAAGGGAAAAAAACCCAACCCTTTCTCAGTTACTACACTTCTCCAGTCTACAAAATTTGATGAAAACTTTTATTGAGATAAACAAATGTACTTGAGAATATGTAGATAAGGGCGGGGGGGGTATGACACACACGGACCAAACCAAAAAACACACTACCACCTATAAGCAACCTTGCACTCATCTTTTGTTTGGTAAGGGGGTTTTTATATGCTTATATAATGAAGCAACCAAACTGTTCTTTCGGGTGTATAAAAAAACCCCAAAACAACAACAAAGCATTTGTACATTTTTTAGACTGCTGTGTACCAATATCCCCCTGCCGCATTTGTTAACTGTTCAAGTATGTGTGGTTTGGAATGAAAATAGAAGAGTGTTCCAAACCCAAGCTGCTGGCTCCAGTTGAATATTCTGTTTTAAGCATGCTGGGCCATGTAGACTCTTCCAAGCTAAGTACACAAAAACAGCTAACCCTGATGAATATAAGTTTATGGCAGTAACTGATCTCAAGTGTCACTTTGAACAATTGAAGAATGTGAGTTAATAAGGATGGTAAGAGCCATCTTGACCTTATCTTGAGACTGACAGCGTATGTGCAAGTTTCCGGTATTGGTGCAAAGTTGAGTCAACCAGTTAATTACAGTTGCATTTAAATAGCATGATACATAACCATAAATTGTAGCCCCCTTGCAATTCCCCAATGCCATGGTTGAATTTTTAAAAACCCTGAATTTAAGCTGCTTGACTTCAACCATTGGATCAGTTTTGAGCGAAATGAAGAATTTTAATCGAGGTTGTAGGTTTTCCTAAAAGGCATGTTCTAATTCCAGCAAAGTTGCTGAATTGAATAGAACACTGAGGAAGACTCTATAGCCTGTGTTACTGTAATCATGCTACAGGGACATAAGTCTCTTTTGGCTTCAAAATGTATTGATTCGTGTTGGGTCTCATGCAGCTAGCACAAACTCTGTGTTTGGAACATGGAGCCAAACTAATATGGCTGAGGTGCAGACAATGGCTTTATAGCTTATGGTGGTAGTTTAAAATACAAGAAAATATTTTTTTAAATCTGACTTTAGTCTGGACTTTTTCAAGGCTAATCTTATAACTTACTATGTGATCATATAATTCATTATGCTTGTTATTTAGGAATAAAGCTGCCTTAATACTTTGAAATGTTAATGCAGAGGAGAGTATAAAATAGTTGTTGACAATGCAGCATACATCTAGTTTATAAACAGTTAATGCCTGTGACTTGATACCTTTTTGTGAGTGGGTTTTACGTGTTCCAAGTACTCTAGTGTCACAAACAAGACTTCTGATTATTTCCATATTTGTCGTATACTGCCAAAAGTCTTAAAGACCAGTTCAAAACAGGAAAGCTGTTATGTCTCTAGATAGGCTTGGAAAGCTCTCTTCTAGAAACGTGTTTTAAGTCCTAGTGCAGCACAAGTAAAGAACATTTATATTTAGATGTGTGTCTAACTTAACAAGTAGTGCAGGAAACTGCCATTACCGCTTTCTCTCAGGCTTCTGCCAGGTCAGTGCAAGTTTAAGATTATTCCTGAACTGTTGTTGCAGTGGTTTGTGTTCTTTTCTGATAGTCACAATGTGAAACTTAGAAGGAAGGAGATAACTTGATGAGCTACCAAATTCTAATGAACTCTGTCTAGGAGCGACACTGTGTTAGTTAAGAATAGTTTGAGACTGGCAAGCCATTAATGGTCACAGAAAATGCTTACGTAAATACTTGAATCTTTTAAATGTACTTCACCTGGAAAGAAGCAGCCTGTGCTAGTTGTTCTTTTGTTTACCGCTTTCATGCCATCACTCAGAAATGTGCAGTGAGATTGCAAAGCTTGAGACAATGTCAACAGCAGGTGATTTCCCCCCCCCGCCCCTTTGTGCATCCATCTTTCTGTTAGCTATGATTTTGACTGTAAGGTCAAAAGCAGTAGACTTGAGAGCATAAGTGCCAGTGACACTGTGAAGAAGTAGAAAATACATACCCAATTGTATGAAACATCAACTTGGCTAATACACTGCAAAGAGTATATTTTCAAGGTTCTCACGTTTTAAAGATAAATATTGCTTGAATCTTAACCCCTCTATATGTGTCTCAAATTCCATCCTGACCTTGGACTTGATCTAGATCTTGAGAGTCTTTAGAGTAATGTCATTCATGTATGGGCCATGACCCTGGTGAACGAGACGTTATTCTTCTCCTGGTAAGCCCTTCCTAAGACTTTCCTAGAAGCCAGAGAGAAAATATATTTATCGGCTAGTATTCATTGTGTCGTGTAATTGTGGAAATGTTGCATACAGGACACTTCAGCTGATTTATTGGTCTAATCTGTAAATGACTTGGGCAGCGTGATTTCCTTAATTTCTTCTTTTTTCCCAGTGGGACAACAGGTCTTTATAATGAACTGTTTCCTCAAATGATCTGTTTTCTTTTGAGCAAGTTTGTCCATTTTACTCCTGCAGCTCCCTGTTAAATGGCTGTAGATACTGGCTTTTCCTCAGCGTTAGCTCTACCTCCCATCTTCAGTCACTGCTGAACTTGATTTTTACGGGTTTACATTCTTCTGCCATTAGTCTATCCAGATCCTTCCATTGCTGCTGTTGAGTTACTTTGAAATCCCCCCAGTCTGTAAGTTCCCATCAGTATTGTGTGAAAAGGGACCGTCATATCCCTGTTCTGTGACAAGCTGTGCTCTGCAAGTCATCCAAAATTGTGTTGGCTGGTTTTACTGCCGTATCACATTGCAAATTGATATCCAGTTTTCTGCTTGCTATTTTCCCCCAAGAGGTTGGTTTTTTTAATGTTTTGTTTTATTTTACTGCAAGTATCTCCTCGTCATTTAATATTTGTGTTCTGGATTATTTTTCCCCAGATGAACCAGGTTGCAATTTTGTAGGTTGAATCCCATTTCATTTCCTGCCATATTTCTGACCTCTTCAGGTTCTTTAGTACTTCAGTGTCCTCACTGGAGCTTTAAACGCCTCTTAGTTTGTCCTCTCCAAATATAATTTTACATGCTGCTTTTACTAGATCCTTGAAGTTATCAAGCCTGGTTTTGTGCCCACACATTCTGCAGCACGTCAGTAGATAGATGCTTCTCCCTGCTTTAAATCATTTTCTGTTACCAGTCTCACCTGCTCGGTATTCTGCTGTTAGGTTTTAGTTTATCACTGGTAACTTTGTGTAGTTCTGTTGCAGATCCTGTTCTGTTCTTCAGATGTCTACTCTTGCTTGTTGTGTAAGTGAATGGAGATTTTTCTTGTGGGGGAAGTAGTTCTTCAAACTGCAGCCCTGTAGCTCTTCAGATTGGATAATTTCATCTCGAAACCTTAATTTTTTACCTGAAAACGCACCTCAGATATTTTAGTTTCTTAACTAAAGAGAGACAATAATCCAGCATCTAAGACCTAAAATGATTTCTAAATAAATGAAGCTACCCTTAAGAATGAACAGAAAGTGGTTCTCTATTCCTTTTGCCTATTCAAAGAGCACTGCTTACTGCCATGAGATGCTTCTGGCTTGTAGTTATGACTACGGTTTTCTTTTCTACAGATTTCTGCAAGAATGATTTATTTTTTTTCTTGCCCTTATATATGGAAAATAACTCAATTATTTTGCAAAGGAATGACTTGGATTAGAAGGAAGTGCAGTCTTCCCTGTACTACACACAAATAAGTCTCACATGCTGTATATCAAGAAACTAATA